GCCCCCCCGCCCCCCTCCCCGGGCCTCTACGGCTGGGCCCCGTGCCAGCAGCCGCACGGCAGCACCGCGGCGCTTGGCCGGATGCAGGCATGCGGCCCCACGCCTCCGGCACGAGACGGGGCTTGCAGACCATCTCACGTGTCTGGAGGTGGGAACTATCTGGACACAATAAAACTTGGTGTTTTTCTATAAAACTCCACAGAAAATTGGTATCTCTATTAACTAAAAACAAGTATAAAAGGAAATATGAAACATAAACAGGCAGTCTCCTGTATGGCTGTTTGAAAAATGAATAAAATAATAGGCACCAAGCAACTAGGCTGGTAAGTTAATGCACCTTAGTGGTCCTCAGGCACTGCACCGCTCATGTATCTCCAGAGCCCCTTGAATACTTGTCTACAATACTTGTCTAACAAGTGGTAAAACACCCAGGATTTTGGGTCACGTTAAAATTTAATACTCACCTTCAGTACAATTTCATTGACAGTAGCAGCATCTGATTCAAAGTAAAGGTGTTTGTAGTCATGATTGCTTAGATATGTAAGTTTAAATATTGCATGACCTGGAAAGATAAGAAAAAAACTGTTCAGAATATTCCTGTAAAGTTTCAGCAGAGCTTGTGTGCCTGACAGAAGAAAAACACAGATGGTGATCTTAGCATACCATCAGCACAACAGAAGGAAGTAATGAAACGCTGACAGGCTTCTCATGTCATTTCAATTTAAGGCAAGTGGTGGCTTACAGGAGCAGCTGAACTCTATTCAGTAAAGTTCGTTTTCCCATCACATCCCCACTGCAGGAAATGCAAAAATCTATCAAATGGCTAGTTAGCGCCCGTTCAGCACAAGACTATATTTCAGTTAAACTACCACATTAGGACTACTTTATGTAACTACTCACTGTAAAATCATCGCATGCAGAAGATAAGTGTTATATTGAAAAGAAAAGGCCAATTAACCCCGGAATCATCACTCCAACAACCTCTCCCCAAAACACCACCCAAACCCACCCAGAGGCTTACGGCAGAGGGAAGCGTCACCCCTGGAAAAGAGAGAAGGGTGCAGCAGCGATGCCATGAAACAGATACTCGAAAGCAGGAATCTCACTTCCTACAAGCAGGACAATCGAACTTAAAAGTAGAAGTGTGATGTCTGTCTACGCAGGGCTTTGCTGGCAGGCTTCGCTCTTGCTCAGCCCCAACTGGGGGCTTTAAGGGATTTAAAGGGAGCGGAGGTGCTGACAGCCCGGCCGGCCGCCGGGCTGCCTCGGGAGAAGGGCACGGGACGCACCGACCTTTGGAAGCACGCGGCGGCAGGGACAGCTTCCGCATAAAGGCTACAGGCAGAACATGTAGCAAGGCAAAATGTCCTTCACTTGTATGGATGTTCACGGCTTCAAAATTAAAATGAAGCCTATTCTATACATTATACTTTTCCATCATTTTTCTCAGAATTTATTCAGTTCAAAGGTCAAAGTTAGTAACCCGTAAAGTAACAGCCATGTTACTGTAAATTCAGGTCTTTCCTGGAGGAAAACTAATTTGAAATCTTATTTACATTATCTAATTCTCCAGATTTCCAAAAAGTGACTGATATATGCTCAGATCCGTGGCCAGAAAATTTGAGACGCGAGTATTTTATTGTGTCATGTTAATTAAACACCATTATGATGCACTAATCTGGAATATAAAGTCTATATTGAAAAATTGGCTAATAATAATAAAAAAACCCCCCTTTAAATCATTTGACAAATGATGCCTCGGTGGTACTAAAAATGCGGGAATTCCTAGCCGCGAGCTCATTAGTATGTTAATGCATGCACACCGGGCTCTGCTTGGGACTGAATTCAGCATCTTTACAATTCCGAAAGTGCCCGTGCACCGTTCTGGGGAGATGACACAGCACCGCGCCCCATCAGCTACCACGGTTTTCCTTGGACATTTAATATTACACAGTTACAGCAACCAATTACTAAAAATGAGAATTAAAATGGCACAAAACACGGTCTGGAGGATTCCAACAAGGCTCTTTGTTCTGGGTCTTGGAAGTTCATCGGGTGGTTCTTGGTGTGGATCAAGACTCCCTTCAGCTGGTTGAGACGGTTTGTTCCACGTTTTCTTCCACGCGAGAAGCCTGCTCTCCCGACGCTGGCCCTGCCTTGCCGGCTGCGCCGGGGGCTGCTGCTCCAGCACGGCTCAGCTGGTGGGAAAGGCCGGGGGGCTCTGAAAGAGCCAGAAGCGGAGGCACGGCCTCGCACCTCACGGCACCCCTCTCCAGGCCGGTTCTCTGCCCGCTCGCCGTCAGCCCTTCCCCGGGGTGGGGGAGGCAGCAGCGCGGCGGGCGCAGCGCAGGCAGGGCCACGCACACCACCCCAACCACAGCACCCGCACCCACCCCAGACAGGGCTCCCCCCCAACAAACGTCGGCCTGCTCCGTGAAGCCAACAGCGCGGGCACAAAACCTCTTAACGTGTTCGCCGCTTGGTTGGCAGAGAGCAGGCCGGGCGTGCGGCAGCACAGCCTGCATCGGCCGCAGGGAGCAGAAAGACCCAGCGTGCCGCCGGCGTGCTCCTCCAGAGCTCTGCTGCTCTGCCATGCATCTCCCCGCAGAGGTAGGGCACAGAACCACAGAATGAAATATTAATATGAAAATTAAGTGAGATCACAGCCTCCGTCATGCCGGACAAAGAAACCCTCCCCAGTACCCGCATCTTTCTTTTAAACTGGTGATTTACTCCTCCTTTCCGGCAAAAGTATTTATACAGCTGACAGAAGCAGAACACAGAACTTTATTTCGAGCACTTACTTTAGGATTGTGAGGAGTCAGCTCTTTCGATGACAATTAGAGCAACAGATGCCAATAACAATCCCGACGCGCCCTGCAGCAGGAGGCAGAGCTCACCCTGCTCCCCCCGGGGGGCCCAGCGCCGCCCCCGTGCCACACCAGCACCACGCACCCCTCCGGCACAGCACGCTGGGCAGCCTGGCTGCCGCGGCACAGCCAAGGGCAGCGCTCGTGCTCCCGGTCCCACCGGTATGGAGGATGCTCTGGTCCCTACCTTTCTGGCAAGGCCCTGGATGAGCCGTGGACCTGTGCTCCTGTGCGGACGCTCGGGAGCCGCAGGGGACGCGATGCTGCCGCTGAATCCGACGCAAAGCCCAAATGCGCGGCGCGTGCCGCGGTTGTGCACAACCTGCCGTGCAGGCCGCGTAACTCAGTCCTACGCCCTGACAGGTGATTTAGTGGAAAGAAGCTAAGAATACTTTTCTTTAGAAAGCCCCATTACAGCATTATGTTTATGTGCTCCGTGTCCACATTATACTATTTACAGCATGAAATATTAGTTCATTGAAATCATAACTGGCACTTTGCTCTGCTACTATTCTAGCCAGATGGAATTTATGAATTGTGAGATTGATTTCCATTTCCAAGAGTGCTTAAATATGTGATGTACCTCTTTCCAATAGAGCACCACCCTTGACAATTCAGAGATCAATAGGAACTTCAGTGGTTTTATATTTCCATATAAGAATATCTGGTAACAAACAGCCGCAGCTCAAGTGGCTTCTACCGCACATGACGGTGGAATTAAAAAAAATGCAAATATCGCACAAATGGCTTCATTACCATGACTCCTACAGGAACAATGCTCTGGTGTTCTTTAGCTTGCGGGTCTGAAACACAAGCATTCGACTCCAGCAAACGTCAGTGCTGTCTGTCACTGCCCTGCACCGAGACCACGCAGAAGTGTATTTAATGTCAGCCACTGCAGCGGATGGCAAGGGTGAACTGAACAGGAGGGAACTTCAATATTTTGCAATCGGAATTAATCGGCTGTACAATGGAAAATACATGTTATTCCCAACTATGTTTATCTGCTAAAACATTTATGGAAGGCAAGTGAAATGACAGAACCTCATCTGTTATCACAGGCTTTTGTCAGGATGCAGGTACAACCCCCAGGGCGAGCTCAGCAAACCTGAGCAGGTTTCGTGCGGACGCCCCACGCCAGCCCCGCTCCTGCCGTGCCTCCGCAGCCCGCGCTGGGGCTAACCTCACTGCGACAGCAGGAAAACAACAGCCTACCGTGGGTGCCCTTTGGCCTCAGCTCTGAATGCTGATAAATCTTTTCTAACTCTCAAGCACTAATAGGTTCCTGTGTGGTTACACCTGGAGAAATGCCTGCAGCAGACTCAGGCGGAAGGGCAAGATGCTAATTCACTGGAAAGAAGGAGAGCTCATTTACTCTTTCAGCGCGACGTCTTAAATTCAATTGTTTGGCCTATCTCCTAATTTTTAACATTACTATACTGCCAAAAAAAGTGAAGGAAGAGGCTAGTTAGGGCATAACCAAGAATCCTGCCAAACCCAGCAGCACAGCCAGATGCAAATCTGCTGCTCACGTTCCTCCTCTCTGTCTTTCTTAGGTTGGGCGGAACAGTGCTCGTGCGAACAGCAACCTCCGCCCTGCGCTTCATCCCCCAACGGCTCATTGCTTCTGCGTTTACCTGCAGCAGGTGAGACGTACTGCTGAATTACAGGTTCCAGAATTACTGACGGAAAAGTGCTTACGCCGTCGTTGGTAAACCTTCTGCAAATTTCTGCAAGTTACAGTCTTGGGAAAACACACAAAAACTTCACTTGAAATAGGTGAAAAAAACTTTCACTTTTTAATCTAAGTAACAAACTCTTTATCAAGAGAGTCTAAAAAAATATACTTTTTGCCTGGAAAACACTAGAAGGATGTGAATTTGCACAAGAAAAGACAATTTTTTTTTACTGAATCTGCCAAGACTAGAAATAGTTTTTCTTCTTCCTCTCCCATTCCCCCCATTCAGGCTGTACCAAAAGCCTCTCTTTAAAACAGTATGCACTGAATTAAATCACTAATTAGACGGAGGATGAAAAGAATATTCATGAATTGGACAAAACAGAAAACAAACACTGGGAAATGCAAATTTATGTTAATTTTTCAATATACCTTGATGATTGCTGTGTCATTACAGGGCCATAAGGCAGAAGTCAACAATTAAGAGTTATTAGTGGAATAAATAGCTAGAGAAAGACCTCTGAAGAACAAAACACTTCTGGGCATCATTTGACATCATCACAGATTTTCACCATTTCAGAAACTGTGACTACAACAGGATCAAACCTTGAAACGTTTTCTCACGGACTCAGAAGGGATTACAAAGAATTAGAAAGGTACCGGGAAACAGGCAAGGAACGATGAAAATAAAATACACGTGAGCAATGTTTCTGTACAAAGACAGATTTACTTAAAGCACTCAAATGGGGTAACCTCTGCTCCCCAACCACTGTTACATTTAATCTAAAGCTTTGGGGAGGGACTCTGTGTTTGAAATCCATATGTGCTACCTCAAAAATGATGCCATGACCCTGGAGCGGGGCCTGAAGGTCCTACAAAAATGCAAGTGTTGCATTACCATCGAAACACCCATCCTGCCAACCTCGAATAACAAAAAAAGTTAGAAGTCGTCTTCTAGGGGGATGTCAGGAGCTGCACTGCAGCCGCAGCTGGATTACCAGGGAGACAGCACCG